TTCTTTCTTTCTTTCTTTCTTTCTTTCTTTCTTTCTTTCTTTCTTTCGTCTCCTAGACCCAGAAAGTTTTATTGACACTCTTGTGGTTTTTGTTTTTTCTTCCTTGGCCAGGCCATGACACCTCTCCTTCGTCCCCAGGTCCCATTTTTGCTCTTGCGATAATATTATTTTATTATTTTATTTTAGCCCATGGCCATGTTGCGTTAGCCAGGAGGCTACGGTGCTGATGCAAAGCAAATGCTGGTGGAAATAAGAAGAATAATCAGAATAGAGCTGGAAGGGACCTTGGAGGTCATCTACTCCAACCCCCTTGCCCAAGTAGGAGTTGGACTAGAAGACCTCCGAGATCCCTTCCAGCTCTGTTCTCATTGATTGATTGATTGATTGATTGATTGCTTTGTCTAGGTGTCTTCTGCTTGAGCAGGGGGTTGGACTAGAAGACCTCCGAGGTCCCTTCCAGCTCTATTCTGATTGATTGTTTGATTAGGTATTGATTGATTGATTGATTGATTGAAAAGGTCCCTTCCAGCTCTATTCTGATTGGTTGATTGATTAGGTATTGATTGATTGATTGATTGAAAAGGTCCTTTCCAACTCTATTCTGATTGATTGATTAGGTATTGATTGATTGATTGAAAAGGTCCCTTCCAGCTCTATTCTGATTGATTTATTGATTGGGTCTCCTGCTTGAGGAAGGGGCTGGACTAGAAGACCTCCGAGGTCCCTTCCAGCTCTATTCTGATGGAAAAATAGCCAAAGTTGAGTAACACTGGCCCAGAGGGTTGATTTCATTGGGATTCCCATTATCGAACTTAGTGGCTGCATCTGACTTCTGGTATTTGGCCAACGGGAACAAGCTATTTTCTATTTTCTCCCTTTTTTCCTTTCTGACCACGAGTCCCAGACACAACCCCCCCTCCCCCTCCCTTGGTATGGGAAGTGCAGCTTCCTCCAGATAATTGTGGGGAAGGGGGGTGACCCAAGGAGACCCAAGACCGTCCCTTTGTCCTCCCCTCCCCTCAGAGTTCAGCTGGGGGGGGGGGAGAGAGGGGTTTAGTGAAATAGCCTCTATTTCCCCCAAGGCGAGATTGCCCTGCTCCAATTACAACCTGGATTAAAAACCAAATTTAGCCTCTCAGGCTGAGTCAGCATCCTCTTTGGGTTGGGGGTGCAGACATTGTGCCTGGGAAATAAGTTTGTTTGAAGGGTAATTACAGCTTATTTCCCTTTCTCTCTTTCCTTTCTCTTTCTCTCTTTCTCTTTTATCTCTCTCTTTCTCTCTCTCTCTCTCCTTTATCTCACTATTTCTTTCTCTTTCTCCCTTTCTCTCTTTCTCTCTCTTTCTCTTTTATCTCTCTCTTCCTCTCTCTTTCTATTTCTCCCTTTCTCTTATCTCTCTTCTTTCTTTTTTCTCTTTCTCCTTTATCTCTCTCTTCCTTTCTCTTCCTCTCGCTTTCTCTTTTATCTCTCTCTCTCTCTCTCTCTCTCTCTTTTTCTTTTGCACACCAGTGCACACACTTACATGGGAAAACTGGCACTTTATTTTTATTTTTTTAGGAAACTGCAGAATCTGAATTAAAATTAAAATCAGGGGCAGAAAGGGTGGATCAGCGTTGGTTTGTTTTTCCCTTTTTCTATTTCTCTCTCTCTTTCTTTCTCTTTTACCTCTCTCTCTCTTTCTCTCTTTTTTCTGTCTCTTCCTCTCTCTCTCTTTCTCTTTCTCTTTTATATCTCTTCTTCTTTTTCCTCTTCCTCTCTTTCTCTTTTATCTCTCTCTCTCTCTCTCTCTCTTCCTCTCTCTTTCTCTTGTTTTTTTCTCTCTCCTCCTTTTTATTCAGACCCCCCCCCAAAAAAAAGGATTATCAAACCAACTTCCTGCACCAAATGGTGCTTTGTGTAGAGCAAACCACTTATCGGAAGGCAGCCCCGGGTTAGTTTCCCAGAACTCACAAATATGGGAGGGGGCAAAAGTGACTTAACAACCAATTTCGCTTGGCATCCGAAACTCCGGGCTCCTTTTTGGCCGTAAGTGGAGGAACTACCGGGCACTTGCTGGACAAGTCAAGCGACCCAGGATTGAGTAAGGGTGATTGACAGTTTCCCAGGCGTCCCTCCACCTCGGCTGTCAATCATTCAGGCTGGTGCATCGCCAGCCTTGGCTGCAGCGTTGCGGACATAAGTGTGCTGGTCGTCCTCCAGCCCTGCTCAGTGCAGTCGTAACTCCAGGACAGTTGTAAGTTCGATCCCACGTTCTGCAGCGGCCGCAAAGCCGATTCCCTGCAAGCTGCTAGGCGGCAGCCCGGTCGTTAAGCGAGCCCCGTGGTTGTTAAAACAAACCCATGCTGATCCCCTCTTCCTGTCGTCGTCCCCCGACCCCCAATTTTAATTTTTAATTCAAGTCTGTTCCGTTTCCTTTAAAAAATAAATAAATAAATAAATTAAGCGCCAGTCAGGCTGTTTGCCAACCTGGGTGTGTGTTGTCGCCCCGGTGTGCAAACAGCCATTTGGAGTTTATTTATTACTATGATTTTCCCCCTCTTCTGTTTTGGCGATGAGGAAGTGTGCGAAGGGAAACGCCAAAGGATGAAAGACGGGGAGGAGGAGGAGGGAGGGGCTGAGGGGAGGGGAGGGGGGGAAGCAAACTCCCATTGACCCCCCCCCCCCCCCCCCCCCCCCCCTTAAGCAGGTAATCACTGCATCATTGTTCGCAATACGCTTCTGGGTTCAAGTGGAGTTCAGCCAAAGAATCCCCATTGTAGCGCAACCTGGATTTCATGGGGGGGGGGGGCGGCTTTCCCGGATACGCGCTCTTGGGAAACCGTGGTCGTGGGCTCGGGCCAAAAGGCAGCCCCGCTTTCCCCCCCAAACACACACGTGAGGACGAGGGTGGGAGGTCCCCCTGGGAATATGGCCTCCCGTTTCGATCAGCCAAGACGTTGGAAAATGCTCTGGAAAGTCCTCCAATGACAGCCCCGCTCAGCGCAGTCGTAACTCCGGGACCGTTGTAAGAAAAGCAGCCAGGATCCGTCCATCGGGATAGAGCTGGAAGGGACCTTGGAGGTCTTCTAGTCCAGCCCCCTGCAAGCAGGAGACCCTAGGCTACATCAATCAATCAGAATAAATAGCTGGAAGGGACCCTGGAGGTCATCTAGTCCAAACCTCCCCCCCCACCCCGCCCCAGCAGGAGACCTAGACCGTTTCAATCAATCAGAATGGAGCTGGAAGGGACCCTGGAGGTCGTCTAGCCCAACCCCTTGCTGAAGCAGGAGATCCTATACCAATTCAGACAGACGGATGTCCCAACTCTCCTTAAAAGCCCCCCCCCCCCAAAAAAAACATTTCTTTTCTCTAGATTAGCCATAGCCAGTTCCTGCAACCATTCATTGTACAGTCCAACCCTCTAATCATCAGCAATTAAAACAATTAAAAGCCCGGAGGCTAAAAAAACGTAGAAAGAACGGTTGCAGGAATCGGGGACGGCTGGATTAGAGCAAAGAAGGATTTAAAGGGGATCATCCCGACACGATGATGATGATGATGATGAGGTCACCATTCAGTCACATCTGATGCTTCTCTGCGCCCCTTCCCATCTTAAAACCAATATAGATATATTTATTTTCTCTCTCTCTGCTCCGGCTGCCTTCCGAACTCCTTTGCTTTCCTCTTCCCAGTACTTTTTTCTCTGGGGAATTTCCCTTCGTGACAACGGCCAAAACGAGCGGGAGGCAGTCTGGTGATTTCTTTATTCTCTGTCCCAATGGGGCTTAGGAAATCCTGGGGGGGGGGGGGGGTTGTTTCCCCCCCCCCCCCCCCCCGCCATCCTTGGGGGAAAAATAATCCATGGATGTTTAGCCTTTCCAGAAACAGACACACAATGGTGCACAACGGATGTCTCAAATGTGCTTTTATTTATGGTTCTGGAGAGAGGGCAGGAGAGAGAAAGAGAAGGAGAGAATGAGAGAGAGAGAGAGAGAGATCGTAGGAATTGAACGTGGAATGTCCT